TTTTTCGTTTATTTTCCTTTATTACTGAAAAAGTATATTTTTTCTGAATCAGGAGCAAAAAAATCGGAATTCAGCCCGTAATTCTCTATTTTCTGTAGAACTTACTTTTTATACGTTAAAAGTAACATATTCGAAGTCAGCGTCGAAACGGAGTCGAATGATATATGTTTCGAAAATTTTCGTTGATTTTCGTTTTTTGGTGAAAATCTCCGTAATTTATATACGTCAAAATTCTAAAAAAACTAACGGTGATTGGATAAGATAAAAATGCACATCATTCGACTTCGTTTTCTACACTGACTCCGAATATGTTACTTTTAACGTATAAAAAGTAAGTTGTACAGAAAATAGAGAATTACGGGCTGAATTCCGATTTTTTTGCTCCTGATTCAGAAAAAATATACTTTTTCAGTAATAAAGGAAAATAAACGAAAAAGTGAACCGTACTTTTGTAGCTGAGTTTCTGGCGATTCAGATGAGATGCAAAACATGACATCATATCTTACCAGAAAAAGCTAGATGGGTTTGCGAAATTAGTAAGAGACAAATCCATGTTCTAACTCCAGATAAAAATTTTAAAAAATTTTATTATCTTATTATATATGAACAGCTCAAATGTACATGCTTAGATTCAGTTTTTGGTGCTGAACAAGAAAATAGTCCCAATAATTCCACAAAATAGTGGAGCCGAAAACTTTACCTGTTAAAAAATGAGTCATCCTCTGTATTTTTAAATTTTTTGAAAAAAGCTTTTAAAAGCAAAAAACACATATTTTCTTACTCAACGCGAAGCGCTCTATCCAATGATGTACAAGTGAAACGAAAAAAAAATAGTGCTACAAATTCGAATTGCGGGTACCTTACACAAAAGTATACTCAAATCACGTGCTGATGTTTGTGAATTCCCATTCGAAAAAATTGAAAATTCTCATTTTTCACCTTGGGATTTTGCAATTAAACAGTCAATAAATTTATTCATATTACAGTGTGATCCAAAAAAAACTTACCCCATGTGTATTTATTGACTTTCTTGGGTACAAATATAATTGAACTTTTTACCATTAGTTTATTCGAATAGAGCAAAGATTTCTGAACGAAATGAGACGTCTCCGAGCTCTCGAAGAGCTTTTCTCATGAAACAGCATTCAATTTACGGAAGGTCCCATACCACCAAAATCGGGACAATTAATGGGCAAACAAGAAACATATGCTCCTCTCATTTAATCTTTGCTCTATTTGGATGAACTAATGATAAAAAGTTCAGTTATGTTTGTACACAAGAAAGTCAATAAATACACACGGTTAAGTTTTTTTTGGATCACCCTGTACGTTGTAGAAAAAAAGGAGACAAGAAGCGGTGATGATTTCATTAGCATCGAGTAATGAAATCAGTGAAAAAATTAATCAGAATGTCAATGAGGTGAGTGAGAAAATAGGTACTTAACTATAGACTAGATGCCTTCTAGTTTTTCTTTTAGTGGGTAATGCGTTACAATTCCGAATATGAAGATAGAAAGTAACTATTGCATGAGTTACAAGCAGAGATAAACTGTTAAGATTGATTAATTCTGTAGAACGACCGATTATGGACAAATACTTTTTCCAGAAAATGATCGAAGATCATGGGTATAAATAGTTCTGCACAAATTATTAATTTAAAGTTAACAATGGGTTTTACTTTAGTATATTCGATTTCCGTTCGAGCCGGTATTATCTCTTGATCAACAGCAGCAAATAGCAACACCATTAGTATCAATACCTACTGTCCAGCAATTGCTCAGAAGAACTCCATTGTTTCCACAGATTAGTCAACGTTCGTTAGCATGGCATATCGTACAATTTATGCGGACGGCATGGAATCTACCAACACCGGAATTGATCATATCTGTGACTGGTGGTGCCAAATTTTGTAATTTAACAAGGGAAATGAGAAATGCATTTCAACAAGCATTAATATCAGCTGTATTAACAACAGGTATTTTCTATCGAATAAAATATTCTAAGTTAGAGTGAACCTATTTATTCTAGATGCATGGATTTTTACTGGTGGCACTAATTCTGGCGTTATGAAAGAAGTCGGTAATGCTGTTGATAAATGTCGACAGAAAACTATTCCTTGTATTGGCATATGTAGTTGGTACTACACAACAGGTAGAGATTAATCTTAATATTTTTTTTAAAAAAACTGCTTGTTATTTTCTTATTATAGATTATGAACAATTAGAACAAAATCGCGATCCAACAACGACTACGGACACAAATTTGTCGTTAGAGAAAACTTTACGAAATAGTATTCGATTGTATCGAACACGACAACTACCTAAAAGTGAGGTAACGGAAAGTTTTCCACTGGATACAAATCATACACATTTCCTTCTTTTGGATGATATGTGCGGTGCGAATGATGAAGATTGGAAAAAAATGTTTTCATTATCGAAAGAAGACGAACATAAAGGTGAAATACCTCGTCGTGCAGATCTTACTTTGAAATTAAGAGCGGAAATCGAACAAGAAGCAAGAAAAACAACAGATGATGAACATAGTAACTAATGTTCGACCTTTCCGGTGATAGCTAATAATTTCGTTTGACTGTTTTCAGAATCTCTTATACCAATTGTTCAAATTCTCGTAGATGGTGGACGATCATCGATTTTAACGATGTGTGAAGCTGTTGCTCTACGAACACCAGTAATTGTTATTCAAGTAATTGCTACATTAGATATCTTCTTAGATAAACTAAGTACGTACTAATTTTTAGGGTACCATGCGTGCAGCTGATAGAATAGCTGAGATTTATACCATGCTTTATCCGTCAAATTCTGGTGAACGTTCGATCGAGGAATACAGAAATCGACAAGAAGCACGAAAGACATTGTAACAATGTGGTTGTCTTCATCCTAGTCGAACTGAAAAAAACGATCCTTTCATTTCAGTGCATCTGAATATAAAGAAATGGATGATTCGATTATCAATAAAACGAATCGAAAACAATTTATAGACATGATGACATCTGAAAATGGATATTTTCTTATAAATGTTATACAATTTCGTTCAGAAACATGTCAATTGAAGCTGGCCGATGCTATCCTTGTAGCATTATTCAACGGTTCGTATGGATTCTCTTTCATGAAAGCCTTTCAGCTCAAAACTTGTAATTCTTAAATCGTTTTATCGGACTTTCTCGTGAGAAAACAATCAGTGTGATATGTGTCATCATCGTCTTTCGAAAAATATTATCGCGGTACTTTCCGATAAAAAAAAGTTATTTGAGTTTATTTATTGCGATATACAAGTTATGTCGATCAAAATCAGGACTAGGATGATGGAAATTTTACCTTCATGAATGAAATAGATCAACATAAACTCTTTATGGCAGTAATGTGTGCTTAAATTCTTTCGCAGGAACGTTTTCATCTCGATACTCGTGGTGTTTATGACTCTATTGGTTGCAGTAGTGATAAACAGCGATGTGGTTTTAACCGTTTTGTCACAAAACATGGGGATAGTATACTGTTCTCTGTGGTTAAAGGCGCATGCAATAACCATTTGGATAAACTTTGTCGAAAACAGAACCTCCATTTCTAGTTTTTGTGAGTAGAGGTTCGTAGATATTGCTTATAGATAGTTACCTTCGTGATAACTTTAATCATCCATAAAACTTTCTTCGTTTTTTGGAATTTTGTTTTTTAACTAGTTTTCTTTCCGCTAGGCGAGTCCGGGAGGATGCTGCGTCTGACGAGGGAAAGTCCCCAAGTGTGCAATCGCTTTTTGCTTGAACTCTAGTGGACAATAGGTAATCGACTGCGCTAAATTCGAATCTGACATCGGTTTGTACTGCTACGCCTCCAGAGATCGGGTTTCTGGAAAACCAGGTTTTCAGAAACTCTAAAAAATAATTTAAGGTAAAAATAATTTTAAGGTTGATTCAGTTGACTTTTTGAAATTTTTTAGTTTTAAAATAGTCAAAAAATTTGTCCTAACACAGGTTTCCGCAAGATTTTGGGCTCTTTTCATATTATTAATGTCACTTAGCCTTGTCTATTGATTACTGAAAGCGGGGCGTGTCTATCCATTTTCGTTCAACAGTTATTAAAAAGGAAAATCACAAATCATTCTGTTTTGAAAAAGGTAATCCCATTTATTGCTTTATCTAACGTGACAGTTCTAATATTTATCACCATAAGCAACGTGTCTTTCATGACTCATTATAAATTTTAATAGACATTTTGTAGTAGACAATTTTGACAGATTCGTGTGTAGATTATAGAGGGCAAATCAGGGTAAAATATAAGAAACACTCACGCCATAACTTGTGTTGTGTGGTCCTGTACAGCTGTGAAAACAGAATGACGATGTAGGTATCAGATCGAAAACGGATTGTAAAATTTGAAATACCATGTGATCCTGCTCAATCATCAATTTTTATGCAAAAAAAGAACTTTTAATTACTTAAGTGGTACGGTAATTGTCGATATTGTTAGAATTCACCATCATGAATTTTTTGTCTCGATAAAGATCAGAAAATATTGTAACGAATGGATAGAAAAGTCGTTTATCGCAATAAATTCATCCAAACAAGCTCACATATCTTCTTATTTCCTTTTTTTTCTTAACCTATATTCAGCAGCAAAGATGAACGGAACTGGAAAAGGTGATCGTAAATTTGAAAAATTAAAATTAGCAATGGCGTTTAATAAATACGACCTTGTAACATCGACAATTTTAACCGATAATACACGATCACAATGGACGGTAATTGGTTTTCTTATTAGCCTTCAGCAAGTAATTGTGTTGTATATTCATTTTTTTTGTAGGGTTATGAATTGAATAATGCTTTGTGTGATGCATTAAAATTTGATTCTATCCATTTTATTGAACTACTTCTTGGATTTAATGCATCATTCGATCGTTGTCGAAGATATTTGTCAATAGATGAGTTTTATCGATGTCAAGTAGGTAGTTTTGATATTCATCGTACTATTTTAAACAGTTGTTTTATGTTAACAGAAGAAAAGTCATCCATTACCATTAAAAAATGCAATATGTTCTGAAGAAAATTATTATAAAACGTATCTGAATCAAGGAAAAGTAAGTAAATCATTAAATTTTACCATAATCAAAATTAATAATAATTTTTTTCTATAGGAATATTTCCACGTTCACGCTCGTAAGTTTTTGTTGACATTTTTCCATGTGAAAAATGTCTTTATTTATTTAAGGCAAAAGATACGATTCGATGGAGATTCCTGATCAACAAGAGAACATGTTAATGTTTAATAAAAGTGATATCGTTCGAGAATCGGGCTACATTCAGAGTATTTCATTCGAATATGATGAATATCCAAGAAAAATTCAACAATCATTCGTATGGCTCTGTGTTTTATCACAATTAGAAAATGATACATATCAAATTGTATTTTCTCAAAAAATATTAATCACTAATAATAATAGTCAAAATTTAAAAAGAAACTTATATGTGGAAAAAGATCAATATTTGGCTATTTATTTATCCGAAGATTGTGGTACTCTCACTTGTTATTCCAGTACGGATCAAGTATTATCTAGTGCTAAGTGTAAAAATCAATTAATGAATGATGACATAAAAAATCCAGTTAAATTTCAATTGATACCGGACCAGGCTATTGAATTCAATTTTACTATTGATATACGAACAGGTAAGTCTTCGAGATTATCAGTCAGAGGTGATAGATTTGAATATGAACCTACAATTCATATTTGTGACAAAGTCCGGAAGATTCCAATCTCTGAACGATTTACTCTAACTGTCCAAGATGAGTAGATTAGAAAGAGGTCTGAACCCGGACCTATTCATGTTGGATCAGGATTTGAACCACTGACTTTCACATGGTTTAACCTGATGCAAATAATTCTGCATGGACCGTTTTGACACTGATTAATATTTTGAAAGAAGAAAAATACTGAAAATGTAGATTGTAATAAAAAAAAAATGATACGTCGAATGAATCGAAGTGAATTCTCAATAAAGTCTTGGTTTTAAGTGTTGAAACTCAACAACTTTCTACAAAATGTTTCGTGAAATGAGTAAGATCAGTGTACTTGAACGAAGATCTACTCTTTTTTTAAGATCAAATGAATGATATATGCTATTATTCTTTGCCTCTCGCAGACCGTAGTTAGATATGCACCGAACCGGTAATCTAGCAGCTCGTTATCAAGCCGGCTCACTCATCAAGTAGCTCGGTGCCGATCATGTTCGGTAGCCGGTTGCAATGAATAGGACACCTATACCTCCCGCTACCCGTTAATTTGTTTTTGTTTTTCCTTCTTGTTGTTGTAGATAGTGTGAAAATGTGAAGTCATTAAACTAGACCTTGGACAGTTTTATGGCACTTCATCACACCACACTATCGTCATTATGACGAACGCACTTTTGCTGTACACAACGAAAGTTCCTCGGGGAAGAAGCTACTCCTCGGGAATTGTTATCATAAATCATCAAAATGTGAATTTTCGTCATACACACCAAAAATTTCGACAAACAACATTTGATTCTATTCTGTATTTATAGAGGTATTCATGTGTGACGAAAGTTAAGCAGGAACCGTTAAAAACAAGGGCATTTTCGTCACACTCGACGGAACTTTCGTCACGTTACGTGAATTTTCATCACAGCCACAAAAAGCACTCCGAAATTTACGGGGACTTATGTCACGTCACCATGCTTTTTTCTGAAAAACGCACTTTCGTCACATATGACGAAAGTACACTTCTCCCTATGACGAAAGTGCCTTTTACCTTTTAGCGTTAGCAAAAAAATCAATATTGTTAGAGAACGTGGATCACTCCATTTTTGAAACTACCATTTTCCAGTGAAACTTAAGTTATAAACTTATACATGATTAGTTTTCAATGAAAATGTGTATATCGAAGCGGATACATCTTAAGAATATGCTGGACAAATTACAAAATTATTCCATGTAGTATTCGAGAAATATTGAAAAAATAATGTGTCAGTCATTTCTACAGTAGGTTAGAATATGAACCCTCACTAGAAATCACGTAATAATTGAGAGAAAATTTATTTTTCTCTGCAAAGCTACAACACATGAATTTGATTTTAACAGTATATATAGTTGATGCCTAATAGTATTTGAATGTAAACTTCGAAGTACATTCATACAAAGGATTTAGAGAAAAATAAATTTGATTTTTAAACATGGTATAATATCTACTTCGAGCATGCCGAAAAAATGAGCCAGCTTGATGCATGCCTAACTGTAGTCAATATCTTTTTCACTAGATATACTTCTTTCAGATTACATTTTCCATTTACTGATATCACAGATATATTTCACTTCTTAACTTCATCCTGACTTATTGGTGTCAGTTAATTCTTTTTAGGTTTTCCATAGATTTTGAGCGAGTTTTCCAGAACCTCTATAGCAAAAAAAATGGCTCTTTTGCACTTGTATTGCATGAGCGTATGCATGTGCCGCAGAGGTCCACTAGAGTTCAAGCAAAACTTATTTTGCGTTTTTCCCAAGACTATTTTTTAGCATCATGACTTTTGCCAAGTGCAGAAATTCTTGATAACTGAGAAAGTCGAATAAGGTTTTGTTTTATTGATTTGTAGATAATAGCTATAGCTAGGGCTTGACAAAGTCCAAGTTTTAGATTATGCTTCTATTTTTTATAGAAATACGATTACTCAGAAACCTTCCAAGGATTTTTCGGACTTTAGAATTCTATTAAACAGCAGAAATCAGTAAATGAGAACTTCAAAAATCGATCTCTGTCAAGTCCTAATTATGGGTGTTTACTGCAGTACAAAGAAAGCCCGAGCAGCTTTCTATTATTTGTGTCCTCCCACGAACAGTTGCGAGTTTCGACAGAAAAAAAATTTCGTTATCATACTTTGCACATAATCAACATTTCGTGAAAGTTTGATTCAGATCAGACCTACTGGGCTAAAATAGGTTTCTGATCCAGGGGAGGAGCCTTAAAATCTTAGTTATTTTTATATCTAAGCGTTTATATTTTGTGCCTTTGGTAATAGATTCAATAATACTTTTCTTCGTCTAGAGATATCGAAACAAATGGCCTATTGAAACAGTATACGTGGTTTTTTTCTTCTAGCTTTGAAAATGAAATGAGCATTAGTAACATTTAAGTTCTCTGCAATATGAGTTTCTAGTGTCTACGGGATTTGGTCAGTAATCATTACTGAAATACTTATGTATCCAAATGGAACACTAATCTAAATTATTTGCATTAGATCTAAAAATGCACTTAGATCTTAGGTGTACGTCAGGATTCGAAAGCTACAGAGCCATGTCACAGATCCAGATGCAATGAGGGCAGATCTCAGTCAAAGATGAATGGTGTCTGCTATCATCCGCTAAAAAGGCTTTCAATATTCTGTTGGATCCTTATGGTTTTTATCGTGTTGGACCTGCATGGTAAAACTTGACAAGAGTCAAAAAGTCTTCAAGAGATATTTGTAGATGACATCTTGTCAAGAATTTCTTTTTTTAAGTCGACAATCGTGTCACTTAGATGCAAAATAATGTTTTCTATTTAGAATTTATTCGCGATTTGTTTCTTTGGTCAATATTTCTAAACCATTATAATTTGTCCATTTATTTATGCTCAAAAAGTTTGGTGAGCATTTCTCTTTTATGCATCTGACCGTTTGTTAACTTACATATAGTTATCATATTCTATTGTTAAATAGAATTGTATTGTTGCTTTACTACTTGCTCATAAGATTTATCGGAAAGCAGCTTATTTAAGAAATGAAAGTATACATAAAAAAGAATTTCTAGAAAAAGCAAAGTACGTATTTGCCAGTGTTTATTCATATTCGATATATTTTCTTGTGATAAATATTTCTTTTAGAGAGTTTGATCAGCATGCATCAAGAATAATTGACAAATGTTTTGATGAAGATGAACTGTTTGCTAATGAACTTTTACAAATGAATTCAAAATTATACTTTAATTATAGTCCATTACAATTGGCGAATGAAATGGATTGTCGATCTTTTTTAGCAACGAAAACTGTACAAAAATATTTAGATCATCAATGGTACGGCAGAATTAATCACTATGGACATGGAACAATTTATCTCAATTTTTGGGTAATATCTCAGTTCATCATAGTAAGGTGTCGGAAATGCAAAATTCGATTTTAATTTCTTGTTTATATATGATTGGGTAGAGCTTGATGATCTGATCACGAATATGAGTGATTTGCGCTGTTATTGTACCGTTAGTCTAAAAGAATTTGATAAAATGAACTTTCTTTTCAACTTTTGCCATGCATTCCAGTGAATTTCAGCAGGTTTAATCTAAATAAAAAATTAGTTTTCCCGACTGTCGCTTTCATTTTTCTCAAAACGCGATTTTAATGGGTAAAGCCACAAAATTCCCGACCCTATTTCAATATAAACCAACAAAATGACCTTCCTAAAATAATTACTATACACTAATCCATAGATGTCGATGAGCTCTATCCGACAGTATGTATTTTAACTCATTCACATACAAATTTAGGTCTGATTGTGGCCAAAATATGAAATATTACTTTATTTAGCGTTTTCTAGTCTCAAAGTAACGATCAATATATCTCGACGTCTAATAAAAGACGTGGCTATCTTTCCCGACAAGAGGCAAATCGAATGACACATAATAAGTCTAGTTTAACTGAATTTTTCATAGAGATTTTGTCGTTTTCAATTTGTGCGACATTTTCGTAGTAAAATGCACTTTTCTCAAAAACGACAAAAGCTCTAAAGTTGAAACTTTAGGAAAATGTTTACTATCATAAAGTGAAAAATGGTAAAAGGATGAAAGCCAAAGGACGATTAGTTTGGGAGATACAAAAAAAATATTTTTCAAAAACTCGCGAGATATTAAGTGTGAAAATAACCATTTTTAAAAATGTTTTGCTCCTTTCTACCCAAAGACAAAATTAAACTAATCTCTTTTTTTTTTATTAAAATATTACTGTAACTGCCTGCTATCTTTTCCATATTTTCGATCGAGTATAAGTCAGTTATGGGCTGAGCTACATCGCGCTGACAAAAAAACACTATTTAGTCTGCGATGCCACTCTTAAGGTGAATTCACTTAGTAACTGTGAATGAATGGGGAATTCGTTCATTTACTTTAAAAGTTCTGTATGTCTACCACAACGTACTGACAAAGAGTAAGATGAGATAATGTTTCGTTTCATTAAAAAATTAATTTTATTATCGCCAGCTGTCAGCTAAATTCATAGTTTTTCATACTAAGTCACTAATAACTCAATCACCACTTGCAACTTTGAGCTGATTTATTCATTGGTTGTGAGCATAGTTTAGATGAATAACGTATAAAAATTTCACTTAGATTCATTCACTAATAAAAACTTTATAGCTTTTTTACACGTCGGATGTGAATGGTACAATGGCAGCGTAAATCACTCATATGTAATTTTTGGCTTTTTTGGACATACTTTTGAGTGAGAATAATTGAACGAAAAACTCAGAGGGTGTAAATTTTGAAAATTTTCATCATTTGTGTGCCCCTAACTTTTCAAAAATAATTTTTCCACATTCAGCATCAAAAACTGAGTATGCGACTGATGCTTGATCGAGGTTAAAGTCAAAAGTCTATCCAGCGTAGATGTCTTGGAATTTTTTCAATCAGAACCCAATTACAAGCAATAAAAAGTAGAGTGGAGCAAAGATTGGGAGTAAGATCCACAAAAATGGAAGTAAGGTCTCCAAAAATAAGCCCCTGATTCTCCGAGCTCATGGTGAAATCTACTTTTAGTAAGTGAGCATGTATCTGCCTATTCGCTTTACTTTCATTGCTTCATTCTCTGTTCATTCAGTCACAAACTATTCGATGAAAAGTCGAATATTTGATCAGAGAAATTATAATTTTTGAGTCAGTTGATGGTGTCTTTAGGCAGGAGCGAAATTTTTGGGCGGGCATTAGTGTTTGTTGTTCTTATTTGGCCGGCCTAAGAACTAAAACGTTTCTAGTTTGAACTACTGTAATTAAAAGTCTCGTCCATCTCTGGTAAAATTCGATTTTCAGTGAAATTTCTCTTGGTCGTTAGATCTTGTACATGTCTTCGTTGATTGTTTTGAAATTTTAGTGAAAGAAGACAATTTTCGAACATTTGGATAATCATTTATAATTCAATTTTTCTAACTTTGCTGTTAGAAAATGAACAGAATCCGAGTAGAGAGAAGAACAGAGCAGACAGGAGCATTGGACGAGTGAAAGATGATGTTACTTCTCTTTTCGTTTGGTTTTTTCAGTCATTTTTCAGTCATCTAAGTCAGTTAAGAAAGCTTCTTCATAGAACACATTTAATATCAGTTTTCGGAGAAAGCAGCACTTTAGTATTCGAAAAAACCAAAATCGGAGTAAATCATCCCATAGAGCAAAAATTTATCATAAATCTTGACTCTACTCGACTAAGCTGACCGCTAAAAGTTCAATTATATTTGTATACAAGAAAAGCCAATAAATACAGACGGGGCGAGTTCTTTTGAAACACCCTGCATTTCGAAAAGTTTTGTTAATTATCTCTTTTTTTAGTCAAAATCTCACTAACGTAAGTAGCTACATGAAATTATGAAAAAAATAAATAGAAATGTGCGTCAATCTACTCAATTTTTGACGGTGATTCTAAGTAAGATCTTTTCATCTCACAAAACTTGAGTTCTGATCGAGAATTATCGGCATAATTCTGAATTCTTTGCTGCTGATTTAGAAAAAAATGAAGTTTTTCAGTGAGAAAGCAAAGCGATAGGAACACAAATGATGAAAATTTTAAAATTTTACACCGTTCGAGTTTTTTGTTCAATTATTCTCACTCAAAACTTTATCCGAAAAAGTTAAATAACACATATTCGTGATCAAACACTATTGAACCATATATAAATAAACAAAAAGTAAAATCTGCTCGAATTTTGCATCTTACATCGGAAAAAAAAGTTGAACTTAAAATTTTTTAGATATTTTTTTTGTGTATTTGTCCATTTCTCATTGTTCATCCTGTTTTTAATTGCATATTCTCATCTCCATCGAACATTCAGTGAGTCAATCGATTTTGTTTGAACAAAGAACAATTTTTTATTTCACTTAAATATTTCAGATTAAGAAGGCCATGGTATCATCATGAAACCATTCGATCAAAATATGCTCAATTTTACAAGGGTCGTGCAATAGTTCGATTCTATTATAATATTGTTTGTATTTTCTTTGATTGTACAAAATGATTTAATTATTACACATTCTTTTTTTACTTTTCAGGTATTTTATATTATATTTTTATGTTTATTCAGTTTTGTTCTGCTTGTTGATTATTTTCCATTGAATACGAATGGCGGTGTACGTAGTGGTTATTCAAATATTTATATCCCCATTTCAGAACTATTTGTGCACATTTGCATGTGGTGTTTAATCGTCGAAGAAATACGAGAGGTCAAATTTTTCTTTTTTGTTTAAATAATCTACTCATATGATACTTATAAAATTTTGTTTTATTATTTTAGTTTGTTATCCATTATCGAGAAAAATGTTTAATGAATAATAAACATCATATAATACGAGATTATTTTACTGATGATAGCTGGAATTATCTTGATTTTGCTGCCATTGTCTTCTATCTTGTTGGTTTTATAACACGATTTTTCGTTTGGGAACCAGCCTTTATCGCATCAAAGTAGATAAATATGAGGACTGTACAACGGTGAAAGTTTAATCTCAACGTAGCTTAAACTCATCTTCGATCAATTAGTATTCAATGATGATTTGATTGATGGATTTCTAAGATGTCATCTAGATCCAGTTTTATAGAGGACACTTCATATGGTATAGCTATGGGAAAAGTTTAATTTTAACTCCAACATTCATTTTGACAGTTGCCAAGCCATTAGGAAGTTTCTAGAAACCTCCTAGAAAACCTTAAGTTATTAAGATATAATTCTGGCAACCTCACACATTTGAACCAAATAGTTTAGCAAGGTCAAAACAAAAACCAAAAATTTTAACTTTTTTAAGATTTTAAAATTTTTTAGCTACAAGTGAGAATCTTCAGAAAACCTTGGTTTTCAGTGAAAAACATCTCAAAATCTCCAAAAATAAATTTCTCCAAGACCTATAAATTCAAAATCCAGGTTTTTCAGAATCCCATTATGAAAGTCAGAATGAAAGAAAACTGATATTACCATTGATTTCGCCATGGTGGATAACCTACAGGTAGAGCCCTGCAGGTTACGACTTAACCTATACAAATTTTCACAATCTAAACCTAACCTAGGTTAACCTAATACAACCTTTTGCAATTTCTTCCCAAAATGTGATTTTAGTAGTCTAAACTTCAGCTTTGTTCCATATCGTTACTGTTTTTTATCTAAACATCGTCTGAAAGGTAAGCTTATACAAAATAAATCACATTTTACATGGATATAGAAATGAACCGGTTGAGTCTTTTATTCTTTAATGTTTTCAGTTTAAACTAGAGAACCTCGATCTGAACTACATCCTCAATCGATAAAATTTCACTCAGACTACGCTTTATTACTCAAGGTGTTGGCTGTTTTAATGTGGTCGTTCAAAATCGGTTTCTCATTGAAATTCTTATCAGTATGCAAGAATATTCCCACCACTCTTACAGATTTCGCTGAATTTTGCCAAATTCTATCAGAATTTTGAGAAATAGATACGTTTTTGCTGCGTTGAGGATAAAGTTTCACCAATGCACAGTCATGATAAATATTCTTTACTTATTATTATTATGGTAATTATGTTATAACATTCTTATATAGGATTTGTATGTGTATTGATTTATTCTTGTGGTATGTTCGAATATTGCATATATTTACTGCTTATAAACGATTGGGTCCAAAATTGTTAATGATATTTAAAACGGTTAGAAATGAAATATCTAATTTGAATTTGTATATCCGTTATCAATGTGTAATATTTTAGATGAAAGATTTGTTATTTTTCATTTTTTTTATTCTTATATTTCTTTTTGGTTATTCAATTTCATCTTATTCTCTATTGAGAACATCATCAGATATTCAATGGCATGAAAATTCTCGCAGTTATACACTAGCGCAAAATGGTAAAAATCTATGGTCATGGCAAATCATATGGAATGTAATCGATTGGGGAATGTGGAAAGTGTATGGACAAGTTGAATTGATCGATTATATACAATCAGATCGCTCAATTATTACCGGTGATTATCCATCATTTTCATTAATACATTTTTATACTAATTATCTTTCTTTTATTAGTCGAAAAAGATGCCTATGGTGTAGTAGTATTTATATTTACAATTATATTTGTTTGTATTTCAAATGTTTTACTCTTAAATGTTCTTGTGGCACTATTTAAGTCAGTTAATTTCTATTGATTATTACATGTCTACTTTGTTTTATATATATATATTTTTATAATTTTCATAGTGTAACATTACACAAAGTTCAAAATGATGCTCATGTTACCTGGGCATATCATCGATATCTTTTGGTTAAAGAATATTCAAAGAAATCTCCACTTCCACCACCTCTTAATGTCATATATTATATATATCAATTTATAAAACAAATTCTAGAATTATTAAAGAGAACTATTAAAAGTAAGTTCATATGGAGATTTTATATTTCATCATCTATGATTCTCATTTATCTATTAAGCTGAAACGTATGGTACACTCGATAGTACTATTAATCTCGATTCAAATGTAACAAATTTAATTGTATTTAATGCAGCTGATAAAATTCGACAATCGGGAGTTATTAATTTAATATCCATTAATTTCTCAACAGCACCAACGGGAAAGTCAGATATTCAATTATATACAATTAAAGCAGTGACGGGTAATCCAAATCAGTTTAAAATTATCACTCATTTAAACATACCGGCAATCGAAATTAAACCAGTATGTGGTATTCAACATTTTAATGTTGACTTACCCGTTGAAACCAATGGGTACCTTGGCTTCCGTTTTGGTTCCGGTAGTGGCTGTCCATTCAGCATAGAACGTAATCAATATTATGCAAAATACACTGAACTTCAACAAGCAATAACATTTACAAATTGTCCAAGTAAAGGTATTACAACTAGTTTTACAGTTATTCCAAAGTTAATAGACAATGTAACAAAAAATGCAGAATTGAAAAATTACACACTTTTTCACAAAAATCAACAACAACAAACATTAATTGATAATGATATGAGTTTTTGTCGATTTCAAGAACGTAATAATACGTTAAGGGAAATGACTATTGCACAAGAATTCTATTGGAAAACATTGTTAACTAGAATTAAAAGAGACGAACGCGAAAAAATGTGTATTCAAGCTGATCCTCAATTGAACGACACCTTTCCTTAAGACAGTCAAATATTCAACAATTTTCGTATTAATGTTTTATATTTTGTTAATAAGTTTTTCGAGTTTACACCAAAAAACTCTGCCAAGCCAAGATATCGGAGAAATTGTAGATTGAAACCACCTGTCAATGTATGAATAAAAATCGTCATATCAGCGATCAGCTTGAAAAGGAAATTAGCTTTGAACAGGCCCTATTGGCATTCAGACACGGGCTACAGGAGAAGTCATGTGCCCATTGATACACCCGATGTCAGACTAGTTATTAGAGAAATGGTCGGATAACGATGTATTAGCTACCAAGCATAACTGTAAATGTGTTTTAAACTTGAATGCACACCCGTCTCCCCCGTCGGTTAAGATTTTACCGCATTCAAAAAAAAAGAAATCTTAATTCTGTTTACAATTCAAAGATATCCCATACATTCATTCGTTCTTCGTTTGATGCTTCACTCGGAGAATGGTAACACTGATGCGAACACACATACACACGTGTAAAATTTAGTTTAGTAAAAAGACAGAAATATGACATACGTACGTTGCATTAGGCATGATGATAAAAAAGAAGAGAGACACAGAGAAAAAAATCATTCTGAAAGACAGTGTTAAAACAACTATGAGACAGAGCAGCAGGTAGAACACAAAAAATTTCTGATGAACTTAAGCTTTCAAATTTGATATCAATATAAGACAAATGCACGCCCAGAAGGCAAGTACAAATATATCATATGAGAATGATAGACAGTACGTATTTTTATGTAGCAAACATAACTAAATATACATTGAAAATATGTTTAGTTGATTCTCATTCGTTTAAGACATTTGAAGTATACAGAGATAATTTACAACCTGAGCCTACTCCTTTGACTATAAAAGAAAAGTTTGCATCAGTTTTGAGTCAATATAATCAACAACCAAATACTAACAAGATAATTTACTTTACGACCGATTACTTTTGCTGTTCATTGTTGTTTCTTTTATCCAGATCTTCCATTAAACGAATGAGTTCAAATTCGTAACATAGAAAGTAGTTCAAAGGACGGGGAATGGTTTCTGCTAGAAAATGGCCCAATATAATTTTGAGTGAAAATGATCGACTTGGCTATTCACTACCAGAAACAAAAAAATTTAAAATCGGCGTCTGCCATATTTCAAAACTTTATTGATCACGTACTGAAACATTCCCAGGATATAATCAGTACCTGGCTTTTTATCTTTTGCTTGCGCATTTGTACAAGTCACCTTTACATCAAAAAATCTAAACTATAGTTTTATGGTTTCTCCCCAGTTTACTATCTATATCTTTTTGTTTACTGATATCAACAACATCATACATACCTGATATTTGTTTAGTTCCAGTTTTTGAGA